CCCCAAAACCCCAAAACCCCAAAACCCCAAAACCCCAAAACCCCTGTATATGAAGTTAAAATAGAGCAGAATATTATTAATTTAGGCTGGAAATGGAAGCTTATACTCATGAGGAGCCAGTCAGGCAGGTAAGGTCTTGAGGGGGATTGGGTGCTGGTTTGGGGGATTTTAAGGAATTGGGAGATGTAGAGGTAGAGGAGGGGATGGAGTTTTGGGGATATTTAGATGGCAGATAGTTAGTGATTGGTATTCGTAGTCGTTTTTTGTCAAGTAAGGGGCTAGATGGGGTTTCGAATGGCAGGGATAAGCGGATTTGCTTTAATAATGGCTTATCTTTTGGTTTTAGGGGTTTGAGGACAAGATTAAACAAAATTTATTTGTTGTTTTTTGTTTAAAATTTGAATTTTATTTAAGGATTTACAAATAAATCTTCCAAGTATCCATAAAGCAAAGGATCATCCATCAATATACGCTCTCAAAGACATGTTTACCAAACTTGGCATCTGTCTGAACATACTCTCTTACTTCGATTACCTTCACAAGGCCAGACACTTGATGATGCAGATGTTCTCAGGCTCAAGACAGCTCTGGATCGAGGAAAACCAAAAGATTATTGAAAATATGCATGAGTGAATGCAAGTGGTTGAACTCAGTGAAAACATCAGTTTTATCAATAATATGTAAGCGATTAAATTCCCAACAAGCTTATAATATATAGGTTTAAACTCCCAGGCGAAGGTTTCGAACACCCATCTGATCTTATATTAATGGACAAAATGCATCTAAGAAATAGGAGATATGTGTGCTCCATGTACAGATACTTTAAATTTGAAGTGAAAGTTTGTAAGCCATTTACAAGTGCCTTGGCCTATAATAAACTATAGGTGATCCCTTTACAAAACCTAGTGACACTATTGGAATTCTGAAGAAGTTCTATCCTCTGGGTGATTTGAAAGTATCCCATTTTGCATGACTAATGTAGATCAAATCAGTGAAGTTTGAAGGGTATAATTAGCTCTAAAGACCCTGGTGATGGACTAGTCAAAATTGCTGATGAGATTATGGAAATACTTGGCCTTCAGTGAGAGCATTTAGGGTCACAAAAATGTAAGGCGCCTTATTGTTGATGTTCACCCTCATTTAACTTCGTATAAGATCTTGTGCCTCCGATCATCAAGTTTCAGGACAAGTTTATTAGAGGGAAAGATAAGGTTTACCTTGAAAAAGATATAACAATCGGTAGGTGCCTTTTTAGCTGAGCTTAAGGAATTCTCTTTTGTTAATGGTTTCATAGATGACGATATTTTCAACCTCGATTATGATGAGTTTATCCAGAAAATGCAACCATTAGTGAGAACAAGAATTGTCCAAACTTTGGAAGTATTCATAAGTAATTTTGAGCTAAATTCTAGATCAATTCGTTATTCAGCAAAAGCCTCTTCCTGAGCATCTTGAAAGTAAGATAAAGATGATTCAACCTTCTTTTGTTGCAGATACATTAGCTCCAGAACAATGAATGGAGTTTAAAAGAAGCATCAAAATTTCCTGAATTTTATTTCAGATTGGCATAAATTATTCCTTACTAAACTTCTTCTCTTTTTGTTAAAAAGCAAAGTAGTCTAATTTTGGATGCCAAATTGTATGATTTCTTACTAAATCTTGCTGCATGCCTAACTTGAAAGATCTAGGTTGCCAAAACATTCGAAATCTGGCAGTTAACTTGAATTTTGTACTACTTTTATACGAATAAATCTATTCAATAACCAAGCATAAAGTCCATCTGTGCGAGCTTCAGAATTTTATATTTTGATGCTGATCAAAATTTTTAATGCTTCAAGCTCCCTTAGGTTGGTGAATGGGACAATTGTGCCTCACTCCTGATTTCTTACTCTTTGAGAGTACTTTGAGTCCTACCCGAAATTATTGTTTACTTAATTCTTGAGATTTAGAACAAATTCTATTAGAAATCCAAGTGCTTACCAATTTTATAGAGATTATCATAATAGCTTCTACATCAGCTTACCAAGCAGAAGAGGTCATGGAAGGATATGATGTTACTCAGCTAACAGATGCTTTAAAACCTCACCATAAACTGAAGTTTATCTTCAAAGAACTTTCTTCTACAGAGAGCAAGAGCAATCTTTCTGTCCTGCCTTACCTTAGAAAAAGAGAAGGAGTCCAAGTTCATGTTAATTTCACAAGCAAGAACAAAGAAGTGCTTATCCTTCACTGTTCACAGTGAATGCTCTGCTTTCAAACTCAAGGATACGTCCAGAATATTTACTTTGAGGGTGCAAGAATCGACTGTGGGATTGAGGACATTTCTTTCTCGAGTAACAGCGAGTATATATTGATCCAAAGTCCGTGTTCGCTCAAAGGGACTACACAAGCAGAGAGCTCACTTGAGAGTAAACTTCCCATACTAACTGAGTACTTTAACCCGACCAACGAGAGATCAAGAATGATTGCAGTTAAGGTGACTGACATTACAGGTCTTTCTTTAAGCAAGATTCTTGATGGAGCTCCAAGTATTTGCTTGTATTGAGCGGAAAGAGGAGAGAATCCAGACGTTCCTAACCACGAAGTTGTGGTTAATGCTCTTAGCTTACTAAGTGACCAGTGCTCTGTGAACTTGGCTTTAACTCGTAAAGATTTACTAATAATTTATAGTGACACAGGAGAATTATGAGATCCTCTGATCTGTGCCAAACTTTGTTAAGATAACCAGTATTTTAAGATTGTGATTATTATAGACTTAATACTAATGATTCCTGATGATTTGGAGGAGAAAGAAGAGCATTCTGATTTGTATCAAGAGCTTTGAGAGGTACTCTGAGAGAAGAGACTACTAAAATTCAAAATAGAAAACCTCCAAACCTCAAATGAACAGTTTTTAAAACAGTTTATCCACGATTATTTCACAACATCAGATAAAAATCTCTCAGAATTCACAATCCTTGCTTCATCTGGTAACTTTTCCCTCTCCTAAGGCCCCTTGCACTTACTCTAGCTCATCTTTCCAATTTCTGGTCCTAAAAGCCCCTAAAACATCATGACTCACTTACCTCATAGATCTATGGCCTCTAGTCCTGAATACCTCTACTAAAAACGCCTACATTCTCACTCTAAAACCTCTTCGAGGTGATGTCTTCATTGCCGGACGAAGGTCAATAGAACTTCCGAATTTGAAGCACAGAAGAATTGTCTTGTGTAATTCAGCAACTAAATTTATAGGCGATGAAAGATTCTCAAAGTGCACGAGAGGATGCTGCTCTGACGGAACAATGGATGGCATTCCAAGGTTTTATTCTAATTCGTTAAGATAGAACAATAGTAAATTTGTTAGGAAATTGATTATTAAAGTCATTTGTATGGAGGTTGTGCCTCCTGGGTGATGCCAATGAAAGATAGGATATATCCAAGCTCCCCTTTGTGGAGAAAGCTATAGCATTGTGCAAAGGCCAACCCTGCTTGAGGTTCCTTCAGGTTTCTACTGAGTGTGGTCGGGTATAGGGATACTTCATGGCTTTGCCTCCTCTACCTAAGCCCCTTCTTATTAAGTCCGATAACCTTCTCCTTGTTTTTTTCTAAATGTGTATCTCCTTACCAGTCTATTTCTTCCCTCATCTATTCAGTTCTCCAACCTATTTCCGCTTTCCAAGTCAGAATATCAAGCCACTCCCAAAAGTAAGAATTCTTCGCTACCAGACTTTCCCTACCTACCTTCTTAACTACCACTCTCCTCTTCCTTAAGCTCCATCAGAACCCCTCCCCATCACTCTAATACAAACCTCACATCTCGTCTCCTCTCAGGCACGGCTTATCCAGTCATCAGCCAAGACAATCCCTTGTTTCTACTCAGATCCTCTCTCAAGGCTTCATTTTTTAACTTATCTTCGTTCCTAAAATTCTGTGCCCTTCCTTGTTCACACATTAAAGCCAGAGACTGGTCTACTTATGTAGCCAGTACGGGTCTGGCTACAGGTAATACATCTTCCAGGTGGTTGATACTTACTAGCAACGATGGACCAGAACTAGGTGGGAGGGCTTTCGAATTTTAGGGTTTGGATTTTGGGAAAATTCAAAAATTTTAAGCGATTTCAATGGATTTTTGTCGAAATGGGGTTTTGGGGTTTTGGGGTTTTGGGG